CAAAAGAACAGAATTTATTTGAGATAGAAATCTTTTGTAACTTTTGTAACAGCACAAACGAGTGGTAGTGTGTAATCAATTTTTGGTTAAATTTCCAGAAAAATACATTACTCATATCATGACATACTGTAAAATTTCGGTAGTACCACCTACCCCAGTAGGGCGTTGTTTTTTGCTCAGCTCTAAAGGCAGTGTGTGCCGTAACTTCATAGTCTGCTGAGTTCCAGATGCATTGCAGTTGCACATTTTTATATGTTTTTTAATTAGTTTCAGATATTTTTGTATATTAGCTCTGTGTTCACATGTTCTGTGTTCATGCCTTCGAATGACAGTGTGAACATGTTGTTGACAAGGTTCCCATACTCCCACTCAGTGAAGCTCTGAAATATTATTGGTTGTCATATACTGTCTAGCCAGATCTGTCAAGCGAGGGAAAGAGAAAAAAAACGGTGGTTGGTGCGTGAAGAATTAGTCTGAGGATGGATGAAAGACAGAAGGTGGTTGGCCACCAATCATGACAGCTCATTGCTCTCTCCTTCTCTTTCTCTTTCCCTCTCTTTCTGTGAACACTCAACTCTATAGCACGGAGCTCAATTACCCCCGCTCTGTCTCCAGGCTCCTCCTGCTACATTTAGATTGTGTCTTTTATCATTCCAAATTGACATTTATGCTTTTACTCCTATTGTTTTTCCACAGTTCCCACCGCTCATGTTGGGCAATTTATTTTAATCCCTGTCATGGCATGGCCTATAGCCTAGCAAAGCTTGGCTGCAGTAATTTCACCATTGCCATGCGCTGGAAACAAGAAGCCGCCACGCAGAGCTGTTGTCCCACGTCTCTTCCTCCATTCCTCCGCCTGTCTCACCAGCACCAGCTCATTTCTTCTGGCCCGATCGCTCTCTCTCGCATCTGTCTTTCTCTTTCTGTTCCTTTTTTACACTCTTTTTACCATTGATTTAGCTTAAAGCTGGTGTAATTTTTTCAACTTACTGTACAGAGTCAACTATAAATAAAATACAAAAAATAATATAAAATATAAATTAATTATAATAAATAAATAAAAGTGGTAATAACAAAATAAACATCAAAATAGTAATAATAATAATAATAATAATAATTTTAAAACATAAATTGAAAATGAATAATAAATAAACTGTCTGTCCGACCAATAGCAGACCCGAAACCATTTTGACAGTGGTCAAATCTGATCATTACTATATAATCTGCAGATTATGTAGATATTTCTTTTGTTCCTGGTTCTGTAAAAATAAATGAAACTAGCTAGATATAATCTGTGTATGTGTGTGTGTGTGTGTGTGTGTGTGTGTGTTTGGAGGCAGGGCAAGAGACACATATTATTCCGCTTGATTTCCGAATACTCGCGGCTTCATCTGTCGCTTGTGTAGCTAGACAGAGCGAGCCAATCTTCATGGCAGTTTCTCATTGATATGCGTTGAATGTAAATGTGTCTTTTTATTTTTTTTAAAGAAGGACAGGCTGGCAGGAAGCAGGAAGTTTCGATTTAGGCAAAAAGGCCTTTTCTGAACCAATATAGTGTCTCTTTCCTTGTGTTGCTTGTCGACTATGTTGTCTGCCTCCGCCGCTCGCTCACTGAATCAAAACTCCATTATTCATAAACACTGCTAAATGGTGAAGAACGGAAAGCTGAGGGAGAAAGAAACACAGCCTTGTGAAAAGAGAAAGTGATGGAGGCTGGTGGGAAAGAAATGAATGTCAGTAACGGAGGACAGAATAGCTTCACAGCTGTTTCGTGTCCCAATAAATCGAGCATTATGAAGCCCGTGTTGTAAGCGGAAGTTTTGAGAGGGAACGAGCTGCAAGAGAGCAGAATCTGTGACCTTGTGTCATGAAAGAGTTTCTTTCCCTGCACAAAATGAAGCTTTTTTAGTTCATTTTACAAAACTCAATCATGAACAACACCAGGGTGAAATTTTGTTATCGTCTCTGTTGCAAGAGAAGAAGACCCACCTTGGCTGCTTTTGTCTTAGTTCTTTGAGATTAGGATACTGAATGTCCTTCTGTTGTGGATTGTACAATTGATTTATTATTTGATTTTTTTACCCTCTACGGTAGACTGACATATTGAGGCTAAAAAATAATTGGCACATGGCTACTGGCAAAAATCTAAAATATATTTTATTTTATTATTTTTTATTTTATTTTATTTTTTACATAAACCATGTTTTTCTGTGCACTTGAGGGTTTTACTGTATAACAGCAATTAAAAAAAGAAAGAACGCACAAACACAATGCACACCTTTTGACTATGTTTTTATATTTAAAAGACATAAACATGGTAAATTAAATGAATCTCAAACATGAGTATGGTGTAACTTTCATATTGATATATAATATACACAATGCTAATTAAAATAACATTTTAAAAAGTTGTTTTATTTCTATCCATTTTGTCTCTCTCCCTTTCTTGTGCATCATTCATATATGTCATATGACGATAAAATAATACAAATTGTTAGTGTGTCAACAGTGATAAAGCATAGCTATTTTTAATTTCATTTATGTAATTACAAAACATGTTTAATGTTTAAGTCATTATTGTGAACATTGTAATGAAATCCAGAATTATTTTATATATTGAATGAGAACATTTCATTTATATGATTAATTTTTAAAACAGATTATTCTGTTATCGGCCTATTTCCTCCTCTTAGCTTTTGTTATTTGCAAAGTCCACTATTGGTTGACCTCTAGTCATATGTTCAATATGTTCAATTATGTTGCCGTATCATCCGTCGGAGGAATGTTCCATAGAGCAAATTCATAGCTACACACCCTGGCAATCAATATCTCTTTCCACAGGCGTCATAAACGACCCCCTGTCTTCTACCTCCTGCTTGGGAAAGATGTGCACATTACAGTGAGAGATTTTGTATTTAGGCTCTTTCACGTAACTCTGTGCTAATAACAGTAGTCGCCTGTAATCTCTGCATTACTGTACTACGTGTAGCTCCACGTCCAGGATAATGGAAGCACAGGAGCGGCCCATTGTCCCTCTGTGATTCCAGCGCTTCACACTGAGACCCCTGGCGTGCCGTTCTCACATGCGAACAAGAAGAGAATCCCAGAAGCGCCATCCTTTATTTTCCCATTGAAGGCCACTGTCACAGCAGCCCATTCAGACGGTGCTTCTTCTGCGCCTGTCGCATCAATTTCGGCCGACTACGCCAGGTCCCCTTGAAAAAAACAAAGAATGACGCCTCGGTCGTGGCAGCGCTTTAAACCCTTAAAAGCACAAGTTCCTCCCTGCCTTTGTTCCAGTATGTGGAAAGTGGCCGGGCTGGTTTTGATGGGCATGTCATTGGGCGATAATCCAGTGTTTTGAGCACCATTGTTGGAGCCGAAGAGTTCCTCCAGAGTTCCTCTGGCGCTGTAAGCTGAGAGAGCAGGGCTTTGTGCCCGGCCGGGTTTTGTCGCGCTCCGTTTTTAGAGCGCTCTGACACACTGCATGTAGAGAGATTACACAGACCTGGCCCTCAGACCGTAGCCGATCTCCCGTTGGTCTAAAATCCTCTTTCATCTCGGAACCTCTTCTTAAGGGACACAAAGGCACTTTTGAATCCCTTGCTTTCCCCTCTTTTCACAGGCTCCTGGAAGAATTTGCTTCCGTTTGACCTCATGTGCCGATGCTGGGAGGTGCGGCGGAGGGTGTGAAACACGCATTATCATATTCACTGTGTTGTTTGCATCCGTTATGTTGAAGAAAAACAAATAAAAGGTGGAATATATGACAGAAATAGACCCAGGCCTTTGTGGTAGTTCATGTGGATAATTGAATTTTTACTTTAGAAGCTCAGGAATGTAGACACATCTGTTAAACCTCTAGACACGCTTGGAAACAATATTTGTTCAGAGACTGTCAGGTGGGGCAAATATCTTCATTTATTATGTGCTGTAAAAGATAGTACCTACCTATGTATCTCAATTGTTAACATGCTGAGATGATTGCACAATAAAACATTACATGCTGTCATTAAATGTTTATAAAATGAACACTTTTGCATATCTAAATCATAAAAAACTGGACTAAGCTATTTCTCTTATTATTGCAACTTTTTTGTATACTATATTATGTTATGTTATATTATTTAGAATTCATATTATATATTAGTTTATAATAGAATTATGAATTTACATATTATAATATAATAATTATACTATATTATATTATATTTAGAATTCATATTATATATTAGAATATATTATATATATATACTGTGTGTATGTATATATATATATATATATATATATATATATGTGTGTGTGTGTGTGTGTGTGTGTGTGTGTGTGTGTGTGTGTGTGAAGAAATCCAATGCAAAAGCCTCTAAAAGCCATCTTGGTCAAAAATGAGATAACGATACTGAGTGAATGAAATCCCAGCCTTAACCAATTCAGAAATACCAGTACTTACATAGGAACCTATACATAGTAGCCAGAAAGAAATGCAAATTTTAAAGAAAACCGTCAGACGTACTTAGAGGCTTTTGCATCTGAACTCTTCATACACACACACACACACACACATACATACATATATATATATATATAGCTGTATTCAACTATAAATGTTAAATTGATTTTTTATTGTAGCAAGCATGTCAGGAGCTAGAAGGCAATGCTAATTTATTTTTGTTTTCATTCTGATAGAGTCTTCATGTTTTATTTCTCCACCTAACAATAGATTTTATCAAAGTCTTCTTTTTGTGTCTGCTTAGATCTTATTTTCCATAATTGATCCTTCTCTCTGTTGCAATATGTCTAGCATTTCACCTCTCCTCCTTTCAATTACAAGTGTTTCACTCATGACTACTGAACAGTAAACAGATTCCAGCTGCACTGAATCAAAGCAACCTGAACAACAGGATGTTCTGAATTTGTGGTCTAAAAAACATTTTACAGACAGCATAACATAAAGGAAGAGATGTTCTGTGATTAATCTCCCTTTTCTCTCTCTCTTTCAGGTGCGTCCAGTCATCACAGTCAGACCTCCCTGCGACCTCCTCTGCCTCCCCCGCACAACCACCACCAGTCATCGGCTAATTCCCTCAATCGCAGCAACCAGGCCAGCCGGCGGAACCCGCAGAGCCACGCTCCTACTGCCGCACCACCAGATGGACCCTCCACCCCTGAATCCGTCCAGCTCCAGGACAGTTGGGCTCTTAACAGCAGTGTCCCGCTGGAGACACGGTAAGTTTCACAAAAACACCAAAAGACACCTGCTAGGGCTGCAGATTTCGTTTTGGGAAAATTATAGAGCTTTTGTTCATTTTTATTGACAGCATATTATGTTGTGTGATGTCGTTAAACATACATTCTCCTTGTCATTATAATGATTAATGATCTCTTGTGTTGTGTCTTGATAAAGGGGACAGTATTGTTATATTATTAAAAATATATAAAAATGTATTATAAAATAATATGATTCAAATTATATAATAAAATAAAAAATAAAACATAATAATTATTCAAATGCATTATTCATTTCCATTCATATTTTGTTACAATAACAACAATTATTTAATAAAATATTATAATCTATTTGTTTGATGACTAATTATACTAGATGTGTGTATAACACTTACTACTAATAAAAAACAAGATTTTTACAAAATTACGGTTTTACACACTGTTTTACATACATTTTTATATTTTACATTTATATGAACAATTATTTAAATGCATTATTTTTTTTATTTATATTACATTAGATTATATTTAAATTTAATTATATAAAATAATATAATCTATATATTTTTGTGAGTAATTATACAGTAATTGTCCTAAATAAAATTATACAATTTTCAACACTTCCAGACTTTAATTTACATTGAATATATATATATATATATATATATAT